GGTATAATCATCCATGAATATATTTTTTCATTTATATGTTACTTGTTTGTTTTACTTACAGCTAAATTTTCAAGTGAAGTACTTCATATTTATATAGTTTACAATTTATCGTGGTTTGAAAAATATTCACAAACACTCATGACTCATTTATAATACAGAGCCGATAATCATAACTCACAACAGGCACTCTGGTTTATTATGCCTCCTAACTCAATATAGTAACATTAGTGACTCCTGTGAATTATAATCATAAAAAAAGATCAATTTGTTTTACTTTAAGTATTGCTGATAAAATAAAATGTAATTCATAAAGTTTTAACTAATATGGTGTTTATCCTACTATTTTATACCTTTCAATTAAAATTAAACAACGTCTTCTTTCTTATCAATTTCAAGGCCTAAAACTATGATGTCATCAAAAACAGGAAGTGCTTCCTTCAGAAGCTGTACTTTTTTCATTAATTCTCGTATCCACGAGAGACTCATACCAAACAAAGGAAAAACAACAACAAAACTACTCGGTAAAGTGTGTGTGTGCGTATCATCGGTAGTTTATAATCTAGAAGTCAAAGATATGAAGTATATGTGAACATAACGTTTTATATCTTCGTGGAATGGGTGAAAACCTTGTAAACTACACATTTTCAGATTTGTAGCACGGACGAGATCTTTGTAAGTCCAGTGTATGCTGTGGTGTTTTTACTTCATAATTTAATTATCACTATTTGACTAATCTCTGCGTTTGATCTTTTAGGGAACAAAACTAAAACTGGGTGATCATACCAAAAGAAGAAGATGCATTACGTGGAAATATGACTTTAAATAACAATCCTCCGACAGTATTGAAATGATTATTTGACTTACTGTATATTAAAACAAATAAGTATCTATAATCTAGCTGATTGACTTCTGGCTCAAAGACGAACCTTTCCATACAGGTTAAAAACCGACTGGAACTGGTTTATACAAGCCAGTACAGCTATTTTTAATGATCAGAAATTCAAACAAGTTAATATTAATAGCCAAAAATCACATACTAATAATAACATAACAATTCTTGGCTCATCATAGGGTATTTAATATGACTGCTTTGATGGGAGGAGCAAAGATAAAAGGTCAAACAAGCTTGTTCAATAATACTAACCTTTAGTATAAATAGAAACACGATTACTAACAGTATCAAACAGTATAAAATATTTTATAAAATGAAAAATGAACTTAATAATTAAGAAAAACTAAAACTAAATACATGTGAATACTGATATGAATAGTTAATATCATTTGATCAAAATATTTTTACATATAAAAACATATACCTAGATGTAGGAGTTAAGAGCTAATAAATAAACAAATGAAACCTGAGGATTAGGAGAAACTCCTCAAGTACACTTCTGTATACGTTCTGCTTATTAACTCTTAAAATTATATCACCGATTTTAGCCGTACTATTCACTTCTAAATAATATAATCATGCTTATTAATTATGATGCCGTTGGAGCTTTTTGATCAAAATATACGCATGTTTCTAGACTTTCAACACTAACTGATACACTAATGTAAAAACTTAAATTAATTCAACATTCATCACGTTGTTATAGAACTCCAACTTTGTTCTATATTTGAGTAATCATATTCCAAAACCCAACAATAATCTAAAGTTAGTGGTTCACAAAATTCACCAATATGACGAGATAACAGCTGAATGATTATCCTTTGTTTAAAAAACACAAAATTGCTTTAAGTGGTAAAAAATATTTTTTAAACATTAACGGACTTGGGAAAGCTATAAGTATATTTATTTTTTTATTAAAACATAAAACGTTGCCCAGATAATCAAGACGATTTTGAAGTTTTAGTAATTCATGACATCACCTAATTAACAGGAATGTTTTGTGCTCTTTCTTCATAATATTAAAAAATATTCATGTTTTTAGTTGTTTACGTAGCTATTCGGACACAATGATAATTCTTGTTCTCCTGGGGCTTATTGATATTATTACTAAAGAGCAAACATTAAATACTGATTTATGTTTAATCACTGCTGTTTCAGGTCACATCGTTATCCAACTAGCTGTACATTAGCATATTTGTATGTTTATTAATACTTTTTAAAGGGCAACTTCATGAAATCCCTCGCACACACTATAACATAGTCGTGTTCATTATAAGGGTTTAATGATCACTTTCTGTTAATTATGCGCATGTGTCTTAACATATTTTTGATTTAAAAATAGGTACGCACAAAAAACAAATATGTATGAAACATTTAAAAAACACAATGGTTTTTATTAGGAAATTTCCTTAAATATAACACTTTAGAAGAAATTAGATACTATTAATTTTTTCCATATCTTCATGGTGTGTATACTGTATGCAACATTTAACTCTAGGTATGTATATTTTGAATATCGTTATTACCAAAAATAACTTGGAATTTTTAAGTGCATTGTTTTTACTAACATTCACGACAATGCTTCACTTATTGCTAAACTAAATTACATTTGTTATACGAATAATTTCAGAAAGCTTAAATTTGCGGAACTGCCAAATCCAGAGTGAAAACATTCTGTATCATAGTTATCAAAAATATTAAGATGGCAAAAGGAAGGATGTAATAAATGTATAAAATGGTTGAAATTACTCTAGTCAACGAAGACTTCACTCCGTGTTTCACTCATTCAAGAAATGCTGTGTTCATAAGGATTAATATAATATGAATAGAATTTATATATAAAAACGTATCGTGTTTTGATTTTTCTGTTGTACAATAGAGGTACATAATTGAAATGTTGAATTTTCTGAAATAACATCAACAAAAGAACTGGTTATTCACGGATTGCAGTGTAGAATAAATAGACGTGTTCCCATATTTGTGCCCAGCAGTGTCTCAGCGGTAAGTCTGGGGGCCTATAATTCTAGAAATCGGGTTTCGATAACCGCGATGGACAGAGCACAGGTAGCCTATTATGAAGCTTTGTGCTACATAAAACAAAAACAAAATACTCTCCTGTTCAAGATCCTAACTACGAAATCATTGATAGTTATTCGCAAATGACTTTTATTTCGTTCGACGAAATTATGGCTTCCTATAAATACACAAGAATTTCTCCATATTTTAAATATCTAGAACGTAAGTCCTGAGCTGAGAAAGAAAAACAGCTTTTGCCGAGGTATATTAAGTTCATTTAGCAAATTACATATAGTATTTGCATTTATTTTCTGTACTTGCGAAACGTATTTTTGAAAAGACTAGATCATCGGGTATTCAAGGGTGACAATGGCACGCGTTTTATTACATAATACGACTCTCCTTTCATCATTTCCATCTTATTATAAGTGAATAGTTACAGTACATGCACCTATATTAGCACTACATCGTGAAGAGCTTCGAGACAAATGCTGGATTTTTTAATACATTAATACTAACTCACGAAATAATACTACGGGGAAGACATAAATTATAAGTTATATATCAAAATTAAACAGATGTAGATAAAAGCATAATTTCTATAGCGTGCCGGACTAGGAATCTGGAGGGTTCTATATTTCGCGCCCCGTTACCACCCTAAAAAGTCGTGCTCCGCATTTTGGGTCGTGAGTGCCTCATAAGAGTGAAGGTCACATCATACTGTTTGGTCTGATAAGAGTAGTCCAAGAAATTGGTGGTGGATGGCGTTGACGAACTGCCTTATCACTTCAAAATTAAGGACGGCTAGCGCAGATAGACCTCGAGTACCTTTGCGCAAAATTCAGCATAACAAACAAATTATTTTCAGTAATACATTAATATTATTTCGTGAAACAATGCTGAGGGGTAGACATAACTTATGTATCAAACTCAAAAGGTGTGATAAAAGCTTTGTTGTTACGCTAGAAAAATGAAAGGTACCTATTAATGGTATTTAGGCTATCACGGAAGGGTATTGCAAGATCTTTTTATTGCTGTCAAAATGAATTTGTTAAAGCAAATATTATATATTTATCACACTGTTTTGTAGAATTATATGCATATATAACGTATTGCTACTTATTATTAAAGAGTCAATCAAAATACCTAGTTTAAAATCCTATTATATAGTATAGTGTAAGTCGCATCAAATGACACGTTAGTAATCTAATATTAGTGCCACTAAATTTTATTGCGATAGTAAACTTACATCTTATGTAAAGCTTGACTATAAAAGAAGGAGATGTAACACAGTGATGTAATATTAATGGTTTTCACATCAACGATCACTCTTGCAAGGCTTGAGACAGTTCAAAGTAAATTAAATAGATTGATGTTAATCTTTAGAGAGCAGTGTTTCATTACTTTCATCTATGATACTTCACATAAAAATATGTACTTGTCCTTTGTTGAAATTAGTCATATTATAAGTTTTAATAAAGCTGTATTATACTTATAAAATGATAAACATTAAACCATTGTTCACTATTTGTGATTAACATAAGATAGAACTAGGGTTATTATATTAAGTTAGTGATTTTTATACGCTAGGTATTAGCTCAGTATGGTGATCTTCACTTTTGAGCTCCTTTTTTGTAAATGGGGTATTTTGGTTTTAAATTAAGCACTCTTATATAATATTAAAATCCATGGGAGGTTCTGAGAGATTTTTTTTATTTAACATTGAAAATTGCTTTTAACCTATTGTTTGTGGCATAACAATAGTAGTCATGAAAATGAAGAACAACTGCCTTTGAAAAAAAAAAGAATGTGAAGGACAATTACGGTATATTTCAAAGTTAATGTTTTGTTTATGTTTTTATAATGCGTATAAGCAAAATGATCCTCAAAGGAATAGCTTTTGATAGGTAGTTGACAAGCAGAGTGGTAGTCATAAATATGTGTGAGTTCCTAGAACCAGGCTTCTTTAACATTGACTATAACTACTACTGAACGTTTATCTGTACTCTTTTTTTTAACACCATGCACTTGTGCTTGAGAATGAATATTTTTTATAACAACTGACAATTTTTTCTTGGCTTTTCTTCATCAGTCTAGCAGACACAGATGGAAGTGGAGCTCTAGCTTCAAGCAGAAAATAGAGTAATTAATCTTCATCTAATTTTCTCCTTTATTACTTGCCCCTATATAAATCCTACAGTATTTGACAAGCGAGATGCATGCCCAACTGGTAACGTCTGGTTGCGCTGCTTGCACTAAAACTTTCTCCATTTTCAACCACCCTTTAAGCATGTAATCGTTTTGAGACTATAAAGCATAAAATAAGGTTTTAAATCTTGATATAATATCCATCAGCTCGATCCATGCATGTTACCATCCCTTTGGTGAGTACAATGTAATACTCACTTCTGCTACTCATACTTTCACACTGAACTCCTCACAACCCATTCTGCTATTGACTGTAGTTGCAAACAATATCTATTTTTATGAACTTCTTAAATATCTGGTAAATAATATACAAATTATAATTGTAATAAATAAGAATATTTTAATATGTTTGTTAGAGGGAACTATTTTTGTTCTTCCTGCAGCCTGAGGAGGGGTTATTCTACAACAGTGAAGGTGGGTCTTTAGTTGTTTCCACCCACATATTCTATCACTCAAAAATATATCAGTTATCAATTTTTTTACTAATACTATGACTGGTAACAGCGTGATATTTTCAGTATTTTAAAGAATTCCTGCTATTTCTGTTATATTTTGGAAAACTTTTCCTTTATGATTCGTATTCATATTCTAATACTTTGATGAAATAATCAATGTATATTTATTAATTCTTTACATTTCAGAGTGCAATTAGATCAAAATATGGATACTGGTAATTCACGTAGGGCATATTCTTCACTATGTTTAAAATTATTTAGTCCTATATTCTGGCTGTGCTAACCTTGTTAGCACACTTATTTATCTGTCTTCAGACGTTTGACAGCTGTTTAGAACTAACGACAACTACCTGTTTTACTTCAATGAAGTTAGTCTTTAAATGAAACATAAATTATTGTTGTCAGTGACAACAACGCATGGGTATGAATAATATAAAGCTATACAAATTCAAATTCTGCTACAAAAGTTGAAAATATGAGTTAAGATTTACTTATTTCAGAAAGGATGATAATCTTTATAAAGATTTTTTGCTTTGGAATGAAAATAGAGTAATTATATTCATAAAGCACCGACAGTGAGATGAATGTTTTAGAGTCTATTTGTATTATATATCTTAGTGATAAATGATTTTATGTACTATTTTTGCACGTAATATCTAAGACTCTTCAGAGTACCTTATCACTCTAATGCTGGTTACCAGTTCCAAACTAGGCAGAGAATGCTAATGCTTGGAGACGGATTGAATGGGTAATGAAGAAAACTTTAATATAAGTTTAACATAACAGCAAATGTATAACGTTTCGACAAGGTTTTGTCATCATCTGTATATAGAAACTGATTGAAAGTACGTCCGAAACAAATGAACGCGGTAACCATTATTTCTATCAAATACTGCTAATGGTTTGATTATGTATAGATTAGTGTAAAATATGTGCAATGATTACTTTTAGCAAAGTATTTGATATTATTTCATGGACTGGATCATTGTTCATGCTTGTAGCAGTAAAGGATCATGTACTATATGGTATCATACATCTTATCTGTGTAAATCTATGCGTGAATGTGCAAGATGTCAAGTAATATTTTATTGTCATTTATAAATAATAATAAAAGATGTAATGAAAAAGAGGGAGATTGTGAGAATATAATGTTTTAAACATCTCCCAATTTTTCAGTAACATTTGCATCATGGATATTGATAGAATAGTTAGAGTAAGTTTCAAAATAAATTTAAATTTTGAACCTGCAGAATTATAAACTCATCTTTAGCAGCATCTATGCTACAGTGATGAGTTTTATTGCTATTAGTTTGTATTTACAAATGTTGTATTTAGTTAGTCATAAGAAAACCTTTGAATGTAGTTTCCACCAATTAAGGTGAACGTAATATAAATGCCAAAGGTTTTTAAAAAGAACTCTTGTTTATTACAAGGGAAAGTTAAATTAATAAACCAGCTTCAAGTTCTGGACAAATATTTTGGTAGTTTAAAGTTATTTACTACATCAATTTTAATTGGTCAGGGTGGTTTATAATAACTGGCGGCATTCAGTAGAAAATAAAATGCTCCAAAATTGAGCTTATTCTTTGTGTTTCTACTAACGTCTGCAGTGTAAACGTCTTGAATACAAACTTTTTTATACTTAATGTTATAGTTTGCTTAAGAAATATATAATGGTATTGGCATAAGATATGTTAATAATACTTGTACATAAAGGCTAACTGTATCAGTATTTTTCAGACCATCGACTCCGACCCCCATACTGTAATCCATGTACCACCTGATAGTCACCGCAAGCCAAAGGCTGAGAATGCCCTCGATGCCTTGCTGGACGAGCTACAGACCTTTACAAAACCATCTGAACAAAAGAGGGACTCAATTCCTGGTCTTATTGGGCCACAGCGTCGTCTTCCATCATATCCAAGTGCTGAGTCCCCTGTCTGCACTCCAACCCACAGTTATGGCCCACCACCTACTCCCCAAAGGTCATCTGCACCTCCAAACACGGGTGGCACTGTCACAGGAAAATTGCAGGTTTGTGATGCAGGAACTCGTCATAGCCTTAGTCTGTCACCTGCACAGTCACCAGTTCCAGAGAACAGGAACTATCAGTCACAAGAAGTGCTTGCACGAGTCTCTGTGAGTGGTACAAAGCATGATACTTTGCCATCAAGGAAAGTTCCACCACCTCCACCACCACGCACAACAAGCCGGTCCCCTTTAACGTCCCCTACTACTCCATTATCACCAGCAAGCAACCGCCAGAAAAGCAGCGTAAATTCATCTAGTCAGGCTCACAGCCACTCACGTAGCAACTCAGAGCCTGGTTCTGCTTCCACAAATACTTTGCCGAAAATAGCTTCAAGAAAGACAGAACATAGAGAAGAGGTTGTTATCAAAAAGAATGGAGAAGTTGTAAAGACAAGTGCCATAAATGATGACAACTTTAGACGGGATCCACTATCTAGCAATAGCAGTAGCAGTGAAAGTGTTAATTCACAAGAAGGACTTCAGGTAGGTTTGAATCATGGCAGTCGACATGATCGAAAAATGTCAGGAGGAATTGACAGCGGAAAACAACAGGGTCTTCTAACTCCCTCCCGCAGTCGCCAAGAGGTGCTGGAACAGCGACACCAAGAGCTACTGAGGAAACAAAAGCAACTCCAGGAGCAGTATACAAGACTGCAGCAATTGCAACGTGGGCAACTTCTACAGCGGTTTTCTCCTCCTCGTTCTGGTATGGGGTTGACTGACTTGAAAAAGACAGGTAGTGAAAGTAATATTTTGTCAAAAACAGCTCTCTCTCTGACTCCAGCATCAGGATCTCTTACTCACCTTGCAGTAAGTACAGCAACAATAAATCTGACGCCAAAGGCTCCAGCCTCTCAAAGCAATTCTATCACCTCCTCAGCAATTATCACTAACAATACAAATGATAATGGTCGGAATTCGATCAAAAAGACTAACATTGACCAATCAGGACCAGGTCAGATCTTTGAGACTGATATTCTCTAATTGTGTATAGTCTTAACACTAATTCTAGGAAATTTGAAAACGTGACTTCGGAGGTATTGTTCGTTTGAATTTTGTTTTATTCTTTTAGCCATCAGCTGCATGACATCATGTCTGATATCTGCAGCGCAGGTTAAATAAGGATATGCTCTATATATGAAACCTAAACGTAATTTTATCACAATTTTTACTCTTTTTGACAAGAGCTAAATGTTCATCTAAAGCATCTGTTGTTTTTGTTTTTTGTTTTAGAACTATGTGCAAATTGTAATTTATCTAATGTTGTTTAGAACTCATTGTAGTACATATAAATATATATATATATATATATATATAACATTTTATGACATAGAATATCTTCATCTAATTATTAATGATCAAAAGACGAAATATACCCGTTTTTTAAACACGAAACTGGGACAATGGCACTCAGAACGTAACATTACCAGTGCTTAATACTTAGGTCGATACATCTGCAGATATCAATTTTTGGATGACCTTTGTAAGATCAAATGTAAAATTTATTGTAGTAACAAATTAATTTAATTTTAAGTAAAAATCAGAAAACTGCTGGTTCTATTTCAGCTGAATTTGTATTCAGCTGAGCTAAATTAATTGATTGCTCACTTTGTAATGTCAAAATTATATTAAAGTGTTCTAAATTTCATTGTTCAACTCATGATTTTTTTTATCTGTGCACATTGTGCGTGGATTGCATACTAATCAACAAGTGCGAAACATTATAATTTGTTTGTCATTTATCACGCGGTAACTTTTCATATGGTGCATCTTCTATTTCTCTGATATCGGTGTCTGAATTACGTGGGACTTTCAGAGAGCATTTTAAGACACAACTTACGTACTGTACATATGATTATATTATACTCTGCATAATACATAAATAATTCAGAAAATAGTTTCAATGAGCATTTCTAGAGACTAAATTACACGGCAGTCCTTGTTCAAATTTAAATTGTTATTAATAAGTTTGCGTTAGAAATACGAGGCTCTAACTCACTTTTGTATGAAGGGTAAGTTTTAATGGTCCCATCAACTTTGATATCATATTTTTCTAAATTAGTGATTCTGCACCTGTCAATCTAACGTCGACATTGAATGAGATGTGTGGTTAAACAGGCATTCAAATTAACAATAATAATTAATCTGGAAAATAGATGGATCCAGTTAGAAGAAAATTAATATGATTATATAATTTACTAGTGAAACATAACTTACATAACACTATTCTCTCCATTAGCTGAACTATTTCTGTGTATACTATTGTTTCACTATATCTAATGGCTGTACCACTATAACGTATGTTAATCTATGATCGAATTGTAATTCACTTAGTAATTTTAAGGCCTTTAAGACTATACATGTACTTCATTACATCTATATGACATGCGAGCAGACCAGAACGTCATTGTTTATTTATTACTTATCTAAATACATTTAAATTATATCTTAAATTGTTTGCAAACAAATCTCGATACCGACTAAAATGTTATTTCAAATACTGTTGTATATTATACTTTACATTTTCATTGCTAGATAAACCTATATTCGTTGGTATGCAAATTTCATATTTTTGACGTTTTAATCCAGTGACCAAACTTTTACGGAATATGTACTACAATGTTAAAGCTACTGTGTTACTTATAGCATTTTAACATTAAGAAAATAGTCAATAAAAATTATGATTTTGGACCATATACATTAACGCACTGCTAAACCACAGCAGCGGACTGGTTCAGAGAGGTTAAACAGGCTCAGATAATTATCCTTAATTAGAATTAAATTCAGTTATCAAGCGTTATCAATGCATAAATCTTTTATTTATTTCAAGTATCTACACTAGAAAAACACTAAGAGTTTAGAATTCTAGGTATCTGTCAACTAGACAAATAATTGATTTTGTCATTGGTACCAGTTCAGTTTGGTTGTCATTATCTTAAAAAGACTACACAGCAAATTACTCAATAAAACAATAGCAACAAAAAGTCTATTACTATGTCACTCGTAAAACTATTTGTATTGATTTTAAGGCCTTGTCAGTACTTCTTGTGTGTAGATTGAGAAGAGTGAAGAATATCAATTTGTGCTAATTCATAGCATGAAGCTTTCATCCTTCCCAAAGTGAAGTATAATTCCTACAAGAAAACAGCCTATGAACTATAATCTCACTGTTGTAATCATATCCCTGATAATGATGACGGAATTTCGTTATCTCTATGTAATAGCTAACAAATTCATATTCTTGTTCGCTGTTAGTAGTAAGTGAAAAACAGGTTTTCTTGCCGGGTTCCCGTCAACAATGTAGAATTAATATAAGATCAGAATATTTACTACCTAAGTTAAAGCCGATGGAAGTAGATAATTACACTAGTGTGTAACTGTAAGGCTAAGTTGTATTCCCCTCTTACAGATCTGTTGTAATCTGTATTATGATTCTATGTATGTTGTATCCTGACGTGTTTTCTATTGCCGATTACTGCTGATGTAGCTCAATAGTTGAAATGTAATACGTTGTTGTTCTGCAGAAATAAAATACAATATAACACGTATACTAAGATGTTTTTTCTTGTACTTATGCCTCACACTATCACACCGTACGTTAATATTTCAAAATACCGTTTAAAATACTTTGCTGTAATGAAAATGTATTGAATGTAGTAATCGATATTTAACAACTTTAGATACAAAAATCAGTGATAACAAGATACTTAACTGATTTAAATAATGACAAAACATATATAACGTGATCACGATATCAACGCCAAGCACTTTTTTGTTATAAACTTCGCAAAAGTTTTATGTTAACTGAAAAGTGTATGATTAATTAAACCTTAAGCATACTCATGAACATTTATACAATTTATAAAGGTTTGGACCCTTGAGATGGCGCCAGAAAGCATGTTTGGACCTGCATGTATAAAAAATCAGTTGTCCATTTTCTTTTAAACTAAAAAAGAACCATACTAGTATTGTGAAATGAATGACATATTCTCTATAATAGTAAAGATGGTTTAATTTTTTATGCTTTTAAGTACTGTTAGATTGCGATAAAGCATTACGATTTAGATCACAAGTTGTCATTACATAACTCGTCATCTGTTGTACGATTTTCTGCTTATGACACGGTACATTGTTGCAAGTTATGAAACGTTCTACATTTTTATTAGCATCCACCAATACCAATCAAAACAATAGATTCACCATATTTCTCTCAGTGAGGCACCCAGGTAGCACAGTGGTAAGACTGAAAGCTTATAACGCTAAAAACCGGGTTTCGACACCCGTAGTGGGCATAGCAAAGATTGTCCATTGTGTACCGTTGCGTCTAAGAATGAACCAACGACCCAACTCTCAGTGAGAAATAAAACGCTTATGAATATTCCAGTTTGGAAAGAAAGCAGAATATTAAGAAAGACTATTATTAACAAAGACAGAATGCACAATGTTTCTATGTCAATGTGGTCCAAAATAGGTCCTGCCATCTTTACTAAACATACCACACCTCAATATTCCAAGCCAAATTTTTTAGTTACCTGGAATTGTACTATTTTGTATCAATGTATACAAGGAACAGGTAAACAAACTTTAAAAAAAATTAAGTAAATATCGTAT